CGAGGCCAACGGCACTGGCGCCGCAGAGTACGCCACAGGCGCCCCAGCGGCGGCCTGGCCAAGGTGACCAGACAACCATCGTCGCGGAGCAGAAGGGTCACCCAGGCAGCTTGGAGCAGCAGACGAAAGGATTACGATAACCCCCCCACTTGCGAACCTAAATATAAACTCTCGGGTGAGCAAGCGATACAAGAACCGACAGCAAACCCTCAAATACATGCAGCGGATACTACATGAGGACACGACGGCCTGACGCTCACGACTAAAACGCTAAACCGAATAGCGCTCCGCGACCAGCTTAATCTCGCGATGCTGTGCCCGACCTCGCGCGCATCCAACCAGGGGTACCGTCCCTTGATACCTGCCGCGGGAGTTGTGGCAGGGAGGCATGCGAGGCCGACAACTCCCCTCGAAATCACACGCAATGTTTTTCTCGCGTCGTGGCGGTGCCGCTGGACCTCCAATTTCAATTCTCGCGTAGAAGCTGACGGCTTATATTTTTCTTCGGACGCCGCGGGCCACATTGCGCGCGTCGCAGAACATTGAAATTGGAGGGGGGAGGGGGTTCGATGGGGGGTAGGAAAAACTTGCGCTTGATTTCGAGGAGGGTTGTATCGTCGAGATTGCGAATCGGTAACGTAATCCGACGAGCAGCAGGCCCAAGGCTGCCACAAGAGGGCCTCAAGCGGGGGAATTCGAACTGTCACGTCACGCCCTCCGCCCCAAGATATCCCTCAAGAACGCCAGCAGGCACTCAAGAGGTCCCCCAAAGCCCCAGGAGGCCCCCAAGAGGCCTAAAGCAGGCCCCCAGGAGGCTCCCCAGAGGCCCCCGAGATGCCCAAGACACTCCCAAAACCGCCCCCAAGAGCCGAGAGGCCCCCAAATAGATCCCCAGAGGCATCCAAGTTGCCACTGACCTGCAACCCAGGCACGGTGGCAGGATATGCCGAAGGCTACTACGCCGCCCCCTGATGGCTTGCCACAGGGGTGCCCGGCGTGCTGGACGTTCTGAAAGGTTTGTGGTCTTTAAAAGGGCTTCGGCACAGCGCGTCGGCCACCCGGAAAAGGTGGTTGCCAAGACTTCTCCTGCTCCAGATGGCTCCAAGATGGCCTCGTAGACGGCCCGCGAGGGTCAAAGACACCTCCAAGCCCGCCGAAGAAGCCTCGCAGACGGCCCACGACTGCCCAAGAGTCCCCTGAGAGGCCTTGAAGACTGCTCAGAAGGTCTCCCAGAGGTCCTCCAGGAGGGCCCGAGGCCTCCCGACGGCCCAAGACGGCCCAAGAAGCCCCCAAGGCGCCCAAGATGGCCTTCAAGATGGCCATGGAACGCCCTGAGAAAGCCCAAAGACGGCCCAAAGGCCCTCAAGACGGGTTCCGACTACGTCAGACGTGCCAGGAACGCCCTACGTCGGCCAACGAGGCCCCCAAGAAACTCCCAAATGCCCCCAAGAGGCCCGCGGAGGCCTCCAAGAGGCCTCCAAGAGGCCCCCAGGAAGCTCCCAGGAGACCAAAAGAGTGCCCCAATTGGCTCCCGAGAAGCCTCATCTTCCTTTTTCCTCCATCTCCTCTTCGTCTTCTTCTTCTTCTTCTTCTTGTTTTTCTTCTTTCTCCCCCACGTGTTCCCCGAAGTGTTTCCACAATGGCCAGGGGAACAGAGAGTCCGATAGATTGGCCGAGCCATGGCCACAACGTTCGGCAACATGGGCGCTTCCGAAAAGACAGGGGGCGGCGGTGCTTCGCCGTAGGCGTCGTCGATCCGACAAGCTGCACCTGCAGTAAAAAGCAATGTGAACCGTAGCGGTGACAGTCGCCGCATGAGTACCTCAGCAGTGACAGCTGCAAGCGTCATGATGAAGCTGGACGGCTCCCCGTCACAACAAACTGCAGACTTGCAGTAGGAACAGCGGCGGAGGGGCACAGCAAAACAGCAGGAGGCGCACGACAGCGCACACTGGGACAATGTAGGACATCCCTCCGCGGCGTACACTTGTTGTGCAAGCGAGACAACGGGAGGATGGTGGGCAAGTAAAACGGCACAGAAAACCCAAACTTGGCCAGTCGGCCAACGAGAGAGGCAACCTGAAATTTCGACAAGGCAGCGCAAGCGATATGCCAAGGGAAGCTTGAGACCCCGATCCCCCCCTCGACACCTGCATCTGCGGCTCCTCACCGACAGAGCCTACAGGCGCACTGGGCCGCCGCGGGGTGCTTCTGAGCCAGTGAGCTCCACGGCACGGCGAAAACACACCACTGCTCCCTCAATCTCCCTCGTGCGCGCCTCTTCCACCTCAGGGCAAACGCATGAGGCTTGGAGGCAAACACAGAAACAACAACTGAGCGCCTGACTGCCAAGTGCACCATCAAGGCTGAACTAAAACAACGTTAGACAACTACCAACATGACATCCAAATCCAAAAAGGCAACAACCGTCCCCGAACGGTCTCGATCCAGGCGCTGGGTGATCAGCGCATGCCAATTCTGCATCAACTCAAACACACCAACAAATGAGAAGAGCAACTGCCTCGTAAACTACAGACCCCAGATACGTGATAAGACACGGGTCGTATGTCGGCATGTCCCCTTTGCCTCGGCTATTTCCAAACTCCGCGCAGTCGCTCGGACATCCAGTCAGTTGTGGTTATTCCAGTCGCCAGAGTCGCCACGGCGAGCAAGCAAGCCTCAGACCAGCACAACAAATGTTGATTAATACAATGAAGACTCGCACATCACACCGCCGTATGGCCCAGACCACTGGGAGAACAAGGCAGACGCGATTGGTGATGAGCATGGAAGGCCACTCGCAACAGGTCGCGACTCTTGGCAAGGAGTTGCAAACGTCACGAAGTAAAGCTGATACAGACTTGCTTCCAAGAAGCGCCCCTGATCGAGTTCCTGAATGGACGTATCTCACTTTGCGTTTTCGTCTTCTAGCCCTCAGGACGTAAGTGGTTCAGGGCGCCAGCTCTTACAATCCTGTCCCTTCTCGACCATCAGGGAGGGGCTCGCCACTAGGAATCGAACAACTGTGCAGATCTTCCTCCTGCCTCCTCCATCCCCCTCTTTTCTGGGAGAGGGGAGGGAGGGAGGAACGAGAGTTGTCCTCCCCTGGAACCGCTGATCCTTACTCACCCTCTGCCATACGGCGAGGCACTGAGCGGAATGTCTTCACGCCTCTTCGAATTTTCTGAATCGAGACTGCCAGATACTCTGGAAGGGCCCCTGGCCTCTGACCTCCAGAACTCGTGGAAGTTCCTGTGCGCTCCTGAGCGCTCTTAGGACGTCCGCATGCTTTTCCCGGAACTAAGAGCAAGAGGAAACACATTGTGCTTCAAGGTCTTCGGCCCCTTTTGGGGGGAACCTGAACTTGCCCCAGGAGCCTTCTTGTCCGCCCCCGCCCAGAGGACAACATGTAACGCAGCCCTATTGTGCGAAATGGTGTCCTTAGAGCCTGGGGTGGCTTTGTCCACGACCCAGGCACAATTTCGGGATGGGCCAAAGGCCACTAGACCTGGGCCAGCACGGAAACGGAAAGAGCGCCTCAAACAACTTGACCGAAATGACTCACACCACCGTTCGTACTGGGAGCCTTGGCGTTGAGAGCTTGTTACGTCACCCCTCGCTCCTGGGAGCCTTGGTGTTCAGAGATTGTTGCGTTGCCGCCCGTTCCTGAGCCTTGGCTGGGCCTTGGTGTCAGGAACTTGCCACGTCACCGCTCTCTGCTGGGAACCTTGGTCTGATCAGCTCGTTTACGTCACCGTTCGCTCTTGGGATCCTCGGTGTGAAGAGCTTTTTGCGGTACCGATCGCTCTTTATTTGGCATCTCTGGGCCTTCTTGGGGGTCCTATTGGGGCCCTGTTTGGGAGCCCTTTTCCTCCGCTTCCTCCTCCGCTTCCTCCTCCGCTTCCTCCTCCTCCGCCTCCTCCGCCTCCTCCGCCTCCTCCGCCTGCTCCGCCTCCTCCGCCTCCTCCTCCTCCTCCTCCTCCTCCTCCTCCTCCTCCTCCTCCTCTTCCTCCTCCTCCTCCTCCTCCTCCTCCTCGTCCTCCTCTTCGTCCTCATTTTCCTCCTCCTCCTCCTCCTCCTCCTCCTCCTCCGCCTCCTTTTCCTCCTCCTTTTCCTCCTCATCTTCCTCCTCCTCTTCCTCCTCCCTTCCTCCTCCTCCTCCTCCTCCTCCTCCCTCCTCCTCCTCCTCCACCTCCCCCTCCTCCTCCGCCTCCTCCTCCTCCGCCTCCGCCTCCGCCTCCGCCTCCGCCTCCTCCTCCTCCTCCTCCTCCTCCTCCTCCTCCTCCGCTCCTCCTCCTCCTCCTCGTCCTCCTCCTCCTTCCTCCCTTCCTCCGCCTCCTCACCCTCCTCCTCCTCCTCCTCCTCCTCCTCCTCCTCCTCCTCCTCCTCCTCCTCTTTCTCCTCCCTCCTCCTGCTCTCCTCCTCCTCCTCCTCCTCCTCCTCCTCTTTCTCCTTCCCCTCCTCCTCCTCCTCCTCCTCCTCCTCCTCCTCCGCCTCCGCCTCCGCCTCCGCCTCCTCCTCCGCCTCCTCCTCCTCCTCGTCCTCCTCGTCCTCCTCGTCCCCCTCCTCCTCCTCCTTCTCCTCTCCTCCTCCTCCTCCTCCTCCTCCTCCTCCTCCTCTCCTCCCCCTCCTCCTCTCCTCCTCCTCCTCCTCCTCCTCTCCTCCTCCTCCTCCTCCTCCTCCGCCTCCGCCTCCGGCTCCGCCTCCGCCTCCTCCTCCTCCCCTCCTCCTCCTCCGCCTCCTCCGCCTCCTCCTCCTCCTCCTCCTCCTCCTCCTCCTCGTCCTCCTCCTCCTCCTCCTCCTCCTCCTCCTCCTCCTCCTCCTCCTCCTCCTCCTCCTCCTCCTCCTCCTCCTCCTCCTCCTGCTCCTTCTTGGGCCCTCTTGGACCGTTTTGGGCCCGTTTGGGGCGCCTCTGGGGCCGTCTGGGGACGATATTTGGGGCCTCTGAGCCGTCTTGGGCCTGTATGGGTGCCCTCTTGGACCGTTTTGGGCGAATTTGGGGCGCCTCTGGGGCTGTCTTGGGACGATCGTTGGGGCCTCTTGGGCCGTCTGGGGCCCTTCAGGGAGGGAAAAGGAGAACCCGAAAAATCTGCAAAACCCGTAGGGAAATCAAGGTTCTTGGCCTCCTGAGGCCCTCTCGGGGGCCCTCTTGAGGGGCCCTCTTGGACCGCTTTGGGCCAATTTGGGGCGCCTCTGGGGCTGTCTTGGGACGATCTTTGGGGCCTCTTGGGCCGTCTGGGGCCCTTCTGGGACGGAAAAAGCGAGAACCCGAACAACCTGCAAAAACCCTAGGGAAATCAAGGTTTTTGGCCTCCTGAGGCCC